TTTTTTCACCGCCTCCACGTGCCTCTTTTTTGATTGGCCACTTTTTTAAAAAAAGTGCGGAAAAGGGAAGACCTGCGAGCGCGCGGTTATAATATGAAAGCGTACTTTTGTAGCTTTTCCCGCTAACGCGGACTTAAATATAGCATATAACAAATATGCGCGCGTCTCTCTTTTTTTCGCAGATTGTCAGACTAGCAAGTTTAGCAGATGATTGCTCTCTTTTTGTGAGTCCCGCCTCTCCGCGTGATATATACATCCCCCCCAAGCCCCGTTGAGGCCAAGAGGACCGACCGCTTTTTTTTTTCTTTCCTCCTCCCCCCTTGCGCTTCTTTTCTGTCCTTTCGCCCGATGAATGACTTCCCAGGCGCCCTGCCCAGCAGCGAGCGGTCAAGCAAAGTTGCGCTGTACGCGATTCTGATATACAAGTACGATGTAGCAAAGCCAGTGTTTCTGTCCGCGGCAGTGGACCTGTCGTCCTTCCCTTTCTTTCACCGGTCCTCTTTGAAGGAGCACATATTTTTCCACTCCAGGTTGGTATGTAGCAGGACGCCCAAAGGGAATAGAGAAGTCATTGAACTGGAGTCAGGAATAGGACATTTGCATGTGTACACTCATAAAGATACTAATGTAAGCGTGTTAGTTTTGTCGACCAAGACATACCCCCTTCGAATAGCATTTGGCCTCATTGACAATACACACAGACTCTTCCAGCAACAGTGTAGAAATAAATATGAACACGTAACGCAGGATTTAATGGAGGGGGTTTTATTCTCTCCTGAGCTGATGGAGCTTTTAAGAAAATACCAAAATCCTTCTGAGGCAGATAAATTGTCCAGGGTACAGAAGGACCTGGATGAGGTGAAGGACGTCATGTTGAAGAATATCGATGATCTGTTACAACGGGGGGAGAAGCTAGATGATCTGATGAAGAAAAGTCAGGACTTGTCCAATTCTTCGTATCAGTTTTACAGGCAGGCTAAGAAGAATAACCAGTGTTGCAAGCTGTACTGATGCGGTGTTTTTTTTTTTTTTTTTTTCCCGTTTTTTATATACCTAGCCAAGTGGCAGAAAAAATTTTCTTAAAAAAAAAAGGAGCCAGAACAATAGCCCTAGACCTAGTGGAAATTGTCATCGGCAGCCATCCCATTAAAAAGTTTTTAGTTATATAACCATCTCTGTGAAGGATTAGATGGAAAACACATTGTGACGTAGCAAAAAAATTTTTCTTTTTTTTAACTTAAGTATAGCTTATTATATGTATACACACCTTTCACTGCAGAGGATTCCTTTTTTTTGTATGTGTGTGTGTGTGTTTTTTTTTTTTCACCTCATGAAGGAATTTGCTGTGGCGGGCTTCACGCGTGGAGTGTAAAATGAAAAGAAGAGTGGGAGTTTGCCTTGGGCGGTTGAAGAGAAAAATCAAAACAATGGACAGAGATGATGTAGCAGCTTTTTAGAAGAGGAAAAACACCATTTTTTTTTTTTTTTACCTCCCCTTCGGAGGCAGATCAAGCCGTCCCAATGGTGCGCGAACCCCCCCTACATTTTTTTATTTACTTCCTTTTTTTTCTTCCCGTTTTTTTTTGTTACGCTTTAGCCAATATTAAAGCGCACAACCCCCTGTGTGTGTGTGTGCTTACTTCGTGTTGACTGTTTGTATGTTCGACCCAATTATATATCATCACGACGACCTCCGCCGTCTTCATCGAGCCTTGTTGAGTGTAAGCAGCTCGTTTAACTTTTCTTTTCGCAATTAAAAATTCGTTTGCGGTTTCTTTCCCCCGCGAATTATGTGCGTTGCAAATTGGCACAGGGACAATGGGAGGCCCTGGCCGCTGTGATTGTCCCTCTCGTTGCGCTTGGCTGTGTTGGTCTGGTTGACTTGTGCACACGGTGAGGCAGCACTGTTTTGCGCCTCCTGGGTTCGTCCCCCCCTCAGGTAGTCTTCAAATGGGAGCATGGTTCGTTCATAGGGATGGGGTCTTGCAGATCTAATGGGGGCGAATGAGAAATGGGCAAAGGGGTGGACGGGCGAAATGGAGCATGAGCCAAAGTACAAGGGCAGGTCCGTCCGAAACTTTGCCACCGGGAAGGTACAGACAAAAAAAAAAAAAAAAAAAAAAAAAAAAAGGGGGGTGACCTACCCGAGTGAATGTCAAATGCAGGCAGAACTTCATCAAACATGAAAAAGGTCCCACAGATGAGTAAAATGGAGTTGTCCTTGCAGCATTCGATGAAGGCGTTTTTCACAATGAGGGGGATGGTGCCTTGGAAGAGGAGTGCGTCAGGGGGGTAGCAGAAATGTATAAATGCGTGTGAATGCGTGTGAATGCGTGTAAATGCGCGTAACTACGTTTAATACGCTTGGGGGCGCTTTCCCGTGGGGGGACTGTTTATTGACCCCCTGTTGGGAGAACCCATCTCGTGCGCGCCCCTTTCCCAGCATTACCACGTGTGTAGGGGTTGCCTCCCGGCGAACCCCCCTTGGTAGCACCTTCCAGCCACGAAGTCACCTTCCCGGCGCTACTCAATAGGAGCCCCTTGAGCTCGCCACTTATTTGCTCATCGCTGTTGAGCATCTCAACAACTTCGCCAAAGTCGTACGTCCGCTCGTTCAGAGAGGGCAGGTAAAAAACGTCCTGTGGAACAGGTGTAGGGTTAAGGGGGGAAAATGAGACACAATAAAAAAGTTGAAGCGGCAAGGATGTGGTGCGTCACGTGCTTGTCCACTTGGCTACGCAACGTTACGCTACGCGATGTTACAAAACGTTGCGCTACGGTTCGCTCCTCTTCTCTCCGCGCGCATCTCACCTGGAGGAGCCCCTGGAAATGCGCGACGAGGGGCTCAAAGATGGCCAAGCTGCGCGGACGGGTGCCCGAGACACAGACGCGCATGGTTTTTCCCTTGTGAAAGTAATTAATGTCCTGGCAGAGGCGATCGATGGCCGTTTCGTTGTGGCCTACGTCAAGGATAACTGCGAGGGGGAGACAAGTCTCCGTACCGTTCACTGCACTCCCATCACCAACATTTCCCGAGGAAGGAAAAAATTTCTTTTTCACATGTGTGATTTGTTCAATGGCAAGGTACTGCATCCTCAGTGGAGGCTTCAGACAGATGACTGATTTCAAAATGGGGTCTGAGGTCACGTGTATATTTAAAACCTTCAATGCTTCTATAGCTATTCGTGTGTTTTCATCGTTGAAGGACTCTCCACGCGGTTCTGGTGGTACGACCTTAACAAGACAATTCAAGTCCTTGGCTCTGTTGAATACGTTTTTATAAATGGATACAGATGGACCCACAACAACATTTGTGCCGTTCTTAAAAATGCCAATTTTTTCTTCGCAAATGGAATGCAGATCAGCTCCTAACAGTTGCTGGTGATCGTAACCAATGGATGTGATAATGACTAACTCAGGTTTGTTAAGAATATTCGTTGCATCTAAGCGACCTCCTATTCCTGTTTCTATCACGGCGTAATCCACCTTCTTGGACTTAAAGAAAAGATATGCAACGATGGTAACGATTTCGAAAAATGTGGGTTCTACATCTAACTCGTCAGCTTTTTTCCACACTTGGTTGACAAGAGAGACAAAGTCCTTTTGACTTATACATTCATCATTTACTTTAATTCTTTCTCGAATGGAGAATATATGTGGAGATGTAAAGAGGCCTACTGTGTAGTTTCGCATTTTTAAACACATACTTATTTTGTGCGATACAGATCCTTTACCATTTGTGCCAGCCACATGAACCGTCTTGTACGTATCCCCTGGGTTATTGAAGCACTTGCTTAACATTTTCGTTCTTTCTAAACCAAGTTTTACAGAATGCGTCCCGTATAGTTTTGCCAGGCACTCTGCGTACCCTTCCACTGTTGTCTCGTCTTTTCCGTTTGCCATTTTGTTTTATTACTATTACTTTATTTTTTTTTCCGCCCCATGTGAAATGTGACAGCCGTTTTGGGTGTACATTAATTTACCCACCCTTACGCAAACGTGTATAAAATGGGGGGCGAATTATAAACTAACAAATTCATTTTCTACTCTCCTATGTTGGAGGAACGAGGGAGGAAGGGGAACACACAAAGGCGGTTCACCAGGAAAAGAACTTTTTACACAAAAAAAAAAAAAATGGCATAAATGGGTGCACCTATATGGGTGATTACGAATTTAACCCCGTTTATTTATTTCGTTTCGTTTCATTTCGCTTTATTTGTAGCGTATTAGGATAAGGGGGACCCTCATGTCACGGAACAAACGGGCGGGGGAGAGGTGTAGGGTTTTACCTCTGGACCAGTATTGGTCGCGCCGCATCTCCGTAGACTTCACCGACAAGGGGGCGAAAGCCCAACGTAGCTGCGCCTGTCGTGTGTTTTGAGGCATTAATTGTGAAACCCACCCATATAAGCGGGGGTGTGACTTTTTTTTTTTTTTTTTTTTTTTTTTTTTTTTTTTTTACAAATGAGGCGCTGTGTACCTATATCCATGTGAGGGGGCACCCGCATAAATAATATGAGGACATATATATGAAGGAAGCTTTGTGCAAAAATTTCCCAAGTGCATGTTTCTCCCTTACAGCTTCTAACACGTGAGAGATACCCCCCCCCCGCTAACGCAACATATATATATATATATATATATGTATATATATATAATTGCGCGAGGGAACATTAATAATGTATGAGTAAATGGATCCACAACCCGGCTGGGGGAGGCTCGTAGTGCGGGGCATACCGCGGCAAGGCCAAGTAGCGGAGCTTCGAACGCAGGGGGATGTTTATATATGCAGCAAAAAAGGTTCGAAGCAGGCAGGGAGATATACCCGCTGTGGTGAGATGACAAGCCGGGTTTGTACGAACCGCATGTGAAGCGGCGAGTTTAATAGCGGCTTTAATACACGTTTGTGGCGCCTGCCCCCGATCACATGGGAGTTATAAAAGAATAATCGTTTGCACCCACGACGTGAGCTCCGGTTCGAGCTTGGTGGTTTTTTTTTTCTCCATCGCCGGGGAGTCCTGCTCTCAACGCCGATACGGATTTGCACCGCTGGATTGCGCTGGCGTTAGGGGGATATATATATGAGACGGGGCCATCTCCTCTGGCTTGTGCTTTTTTCTACATCGGCGCGATTATTTCCTTGTATTTTTTTTTCCGTCCCACGTGTTTTAACTTTAACGCATGCAGAGAGTGCTTTCTCCCACGGGGCGCTCCTTCATCTCCTGTCGGCGGGGCCGTTGCCACATTCTGGTTATGTGCTGTGGGGGAAAAGTGCCCCATTGTGGATCCCCCATTTAGCAGTGCGTAAAAATAAGTAACAGCCATTTGCAGAGCTGTTATATTTGGCAGATGAAAAAAAAAAAACAAAATGAAAATGACATTTAAAAAAAAAAAAAACCTGCACGCACATGTAAAAAAAAAAAATATTGCGAGACTATTTTTCTGTAAATATTTTTTCCACAAAAACTTTTGCGCATGAACGTCATATGCTTGCTGCCTCTACAAATAATTTAATATGTGACATACGCAAACATATTTTTCTCCTGAAAAAAGAATTATATTAAAGAATATTTTTTTTTTTGCGAAGAAATTTTTACCAACTGCTACATCACCGAAAATTAATAATTTTATAAAAGCTGTATTTTGTTTATAGTTAAAGCAGTCCTTGTTCCCACTTCGCTTCGCTTCGTTTCACTTTTCTTCACTTCGCTTCGCGTCGTTTTCACTTCACTTCGCTGCGTTTCGTTTCGCTTCGCTTCACTTTGTATCACTTCTACATTTTTTCCCCCACGATGACGGCAAAACCCAAGATCGTTCTTGTAGGATCTGGCATGATCGGAGGTGTGATGGCTACATTAATTGTGCAGAAGAATCTGGGTGACGTGGTCATGTTTGACGTAGTGAAGAACATGCCTCAGGGAAAAGCATTGGATACGTCCCACTCCAATGTGATGGCCTACTCCAACTGCAAGGTGACGGGATCGAATTCGTACGAGGATTTGAAAGGAGCCGATGTGGTTATCGTCACTGCAGGTTTTACTAAGGCACCCGGAAAGAGTGACAAGGAATGGAACAGAGATGACCTCCTCCCACTGAATAATAAAATCATGATTGAAATTGGAGGACATATAAAGAAGCTTTGCCCCGATGCCTTTATTATTGTCGTGACAAACCCAGTCGACGTAATGGTGCAGTTGCTCTTCGAACACTCGGGAGTACCTAAGAATAAAATTGTAGGACTAGGTGGAGTATTGGATACCTCTAGGTTGAAATATTATTTGTCTCAGAAGTTGAATGTGTGCCCTAGAGATGTTAATGCACTTATTGTCGGTGCACATGGAAATAAAATGGTGCTCCTTAAAAGATACATCACTGTTGGAGGTATTCCATTACAAGAATTTATTAACAATAAAAAAATTACTGATGAAGAAGTGGATGCTATATTTGACAGAACCATTAACACTGCTCTGGAGATAGTAAACCTGCTTGCCTCTCCTTACGTCGCCCCAGCTGCAGCTATTATTGAAATGGCTGAGTCGTATTTGAAGGACTTGAAGAAGGTCCTCATATGCTCCACTTTGTTGGAGGGACAATACGGCCATAAGAATATCTTTGGCGGTACTCCTCTTGTTCTCGGGGGTAACGGAGTTGAACAGGTCATCGAATTGCAACTCAATGCAGATGAGAAAGTCAAATTTGATGAAGCTGTCGCGGAGACCAAAAGAATGAAGGCCCTCATTTAAGTCGTACCCCTTTTTTTTTTACGAGACAGACACGAAGGCAGCGGCAGCAGCAGAGACGGAGAGTTTTTTTTTTTTTTTTTTTTTTCTGAACGGGTCATATTTTTTTATTTTTTTTTTCTGAACGGGTCATATTGTATTTTATTTTTTTTTGCTAGAGTATTATATATTTTTCCCAGAGTTATGCGTGCCCTTACATTTTGTACTCATTTTGTGTTTCCCTTTTTTTATAAAAATTGTGTGTTACATATCATGGGGTCATTGCCTTGAACAAAAAAAAAACCTGTGCCGCCTGTGCTTTTTCCCCCGTCGCGAATAACTTGAACGCACCTATGGGTTGACACACCCACGCAAGAAGGACTTAATAAGTGGTTACCCTTTACACGCAACACCATACCTGCGCTTCTGCACGCGCTGTGCGTGGTGAGAAGCCGCAACAGCAGATGGGCACAACGTGCTCCACTAACTACACACCTACACCCATCTTGTCATCCTACTTCAACTCCAAACCAAAACGAACCCTCCAAACCATTTAAAAAAAAACGTGCAGCATACAAAAAAAAAAAAAAAAAAAAAAAAAAAAGTTATTTTCGTGCCAATGGCTTTACTAACAATTCACAGTTGGTGTCACGTTAAAGAAAAAAAAAAAAAAAAAATGTTTCGCTTGGGCACGGTGTCTGCACACCGCTTGCACGCATGGTTAACACCATCACATGCGAATGGTCTTCCTCTTTTCACACCTACTCATCGTCAATGGCCCGTATGTAGAACACGTTGTTTCCACGAATGAAGGCATCATAGTAGCTCTCCACCAACTCCCCTTCAAAAAATTCTTCCGTCTGCTCCAGTGCGACGTTCATGCGTTCATCCAAGCAGGCCAGAATGCCTTTGAAGTCGGACCCATTGTTCAGCCGAACTATCACCACTCGTCCTTTCAGACTCTCCACAAAGTCCTTGGGGGAGTTAGAGCTCATGTTTGGCCGGGGTGGGGGGTGTCCTACATCAGTATATATG